GTAGAGAAAGTATTGGCACTTGTGACGATAAAGAATTCCAAAGAAGAGTACTTGAATACTATCAACATGCTTCTAAGGAATATAATGATTTAAACGGTAAGGTTGAAGCACTATTCAAGGATGTATATAAAAGTGCAAGTGATATTATTGAGCGCAATAAAAAAAGAATGAATGAAGAATTAAGTAATAGTACTACTGATAANTATTGGCACTTGTGACGATAAAGAATTTCAAAGAAGAGTACTTGAATACTATCAACATGCTTCTAAGGAATATAATGATTTAAACGATAAGGTTGAAGCGCTATTCAAAGATGTGTACGAAAGTGCAAGTAATATTATTGACTGCAATAAAAAAAGAATGAATGAAGAGTTAAGTAGTAGTACTACTGCCAATGCAAAACAAGTTTCTGAACAGGTGTCACAAGCTAAAAGGGAATTAAAGGCACACACAGCTGATATTGCCGCTAAAGTTGCAGCAGAAGTGATAAAAGGACATCAAAATGGTAAACGTAAGAGTGAGGTTATATCTTCACTTTCACGTGATTTAAGTAAAAAATTGCATTAGCTTTCGTGCAACAACAATCTATATTATAAATTGGTAGTGTAGATTGTGATTTTAGTTTATGTAGGGAAGTAGAGAATCTTTTCTACTATAATTTTATGTTATTCCTTAGCAAAAAATTAAATAAAATTACTTTTTTATATTGGAAGATATCATTGCAGATGTTACAGGTTCGATTGAGCTTCATTATTGAACTAATTATACCTTTGGTAAAAGCTGGTGATAATCAAGTTATGGATCTTCTTAAATCACACTTTGGCATCTCAGAATTTGCAAGCAACTAGTTATAGTAGTAGACCCTAGTTTTTAGCTAAAAGTATAAAACCAGGCTTCATTGTTTATGTTTCTTCCGTTATCATAGTTTTAATATTAACATTAATAGAAAAATACGCATATTTTGCTTTGATATTGATATTTATAATTTGGTGTTCTGGGACTTTATTTATAACTACGATTTTTAGTTTATGCAGAACGCTCAATAAAAAAAGTTCAATCTTGAGAATTTTCCTATATAGTATTTTACTGCCTGCTTTTAAAGAAAGTACGGTGATGTCAAAATTAATTGACATTATTAAGAATTTGGACTATCCAAAGTCAAAATTAGATCTGAAGTTCCTATGTGAAGTTCGTAATAGAAAGTGATGATCAGGAGATGATTAAAGCTTTGTTTTATTTTGGGAAAAGGGTGAGGTACAAAGTATGCTCTACCACGATATTTTGAAGTAATCACTCTACCTCACTCTTTTCCCAAAATAAAAAGCTAAAGCATGCAATTATGGCGCGTATTTGCTAAAGGCAAGTATCTAATAATATATGATGCGGATGACAAATCAGACTAATTGCCTTTAAAAAAGGCGTTGATCGAATTTAATGAACATGATAAAAAAATTAGCATGTGCTTAGCCTGTGCATAGGCTTGGTTAAATTATTATAACTACAACCATAATTTCCTAACAGAATTTTTCTTTTTGGAATATATAAACTAGTCTATTATTTGCTATCCAGGCTGCAAAAATGAATATGCCAGCACCTTTGGGTCGTAGTCATTTCTAGTTTATGCACATTCCTTTCTTTTATATCTCTAAAATCTACAAAGTTAGTCAGATACTTTTTTGTTTTCTATAAATTTTAATACAATATCATTTGTATCTTTCTCAAAGAAACTTTCTATTTCCCTAAGTCTCATTATTTGAAAACATGACTATAATATAGTGATAAAATATTAATCAACGGCTTATGATTATGTAAGAATGTCATCTTCTCTACTTCAGCTTTAAGTGCTAGATTATATGGACTTACTTATAAGCCATAATCTCTAGCTCTATTATGTGCTTGACTATGCGTTCATATACATCTATTATATTTTGTATAATGGCTTGGGATAAAGGATTCATTCCACGCTCATTTATCAAATTAAATCTGCATATTATTTTAATAGAGCTTTTGCTACCTCTAGATAATCATATCTAGTAGCCAAATATAACAGTTTCTCCATTATTATTTGCAGCATTAACATCAGCATCCTTTTTTATAGCACTATGAGCTTTATCGCAGTCTTTTGCTTCTATAGCGCTAAATAATTCGTCACTCAAATTCATTACCATCCATCAATTCCATATTAGAACCGTCTGACGCAAGTCCGCGTAACGATATATCTTTGTAAATCAACATTTTTATCAAAAAATATCACTAGGGTAGACTACCGACATAAGAAATCGGTAGGCCGCAAATTGAATAATAGTAATGTGCTGTTAAGTCGCACTATACCATTAAATCAACCTGTGATATTATCTCACCACCTTGACCATTGGCCAATTGCGGCGCCTCTTTATGTCTAGCATTATTAACAAGTACTAGTGCTGAATCTTGAAGCATTGTTACTGAATCTGCAGATTCAATAGTGCTCTTATCCTCTAAATTGCAAGAAGAGCTAATAGGTTTGTGCAATGGAATATTTCCATCTATATTTACAGCATGAATGTTAGAACCTATTTCTCCTGCCAAATAATGTACTACATCTATGCTGGAGTTAGGAAAACTAAGAATACTGTGTTAATATTAAAAATGATAGTGGTTATACCCCATTGGACACTGCTAGTACTTCTAATACATCAGATTCGAGATTATAAGATATCTTGTGGGAAACGGCGCTGATGCTAATGTTAAAGATGATTTTGGAGCAAATATTTAACATCAGCACCTTTTCTACTGGATACTGCACCATGTATAAGTCAGAAGAACCTGTAGCAATGCGCAATGTGGTGTGTCCCTTATTATCCTTAACATTAATATCAACGCTTTTTTATAAAACACCTTACTGTCTATATGTTATCTGGGATATTAATAGAAGCGTGCAGGGGAGTATACCCATCATTACCATTAATAATATCAGAATCCCTTCCCGCTAGATGCTTTAATGTTTCTAATGCTCGAGGAGAACGAGAAGAAGCAGAAAGGTGCAAAAGTAGCCTGCCGACATAAAAAATCGGTGGAAATTGCTTATTAACTTATAGCCCCATAAATTTACTAAATATATTGAGGTTGCTACGAGAAACGCTCTAATTGACTATTAAATAGGGTTTGATTAGAACCTATGTTTAACTTTGCATTAAAAGCATTCATAAACTCCCCACACTCCTCTTCACTCATTTGCCTAGTAGTGCATGCTTCTTCTGTACATGAAATTAAAATCCCAAGAACTTCACTAGGTTTGCCACTAGCAATCTTAGCTGCGATTTCTTTGTGCATTTCTAGAAAGTTAATATTTAATAAATCCACGCGAATTAGAAGGGATACCCAAACTTATAGATAATATACTCTGAAACTGATCCTGCAATTTATATGCAAAAATGAAGATCCTCATTTGATATAAGTATATCTTATTAGTATAAATATCGGAGGTTTTATTATGGGTATTGCATCTTTTTTTTGAAAGCATGGTAGGGATTTTTTTTAATCTTAGCAAGTGGATAAGGTTTAAACGCTGAGCTGAGGAGATTTTATAGTCTACTTCCCATGCATCAGGTAATTCTATTGAAAGTACAATAACCGAGATTCCTGTGGCAGAGGTGTATCAGAATACACTCGGATTATAACGCACCCGAAGCTCATATGATAATATAATGTCAATTAAGTTTACAAAGGCTGTATAACTATAGTCTTTTATATCTTTATATATGTCTTACTTTAAGAAAATTCTCTATAATATAGAGCATAGTATTAATCAGATATTTTGGTGGGCAAAATTTTTTCTATCGTCACAGACGAC